AAAAAAAAAAAAAAACAGCTGGGTCAGAAAGTAGAAGACAGAGAGGCAGCACCCAGCAGGGCCCTAACCCTGCGTTTGAAGGGTTAAAAAGTTAAAAGCCGCTCCCTCCTCAACCTCCTCTGGTGAACTTTCCTGACCTCATTAGACTTGCTCTGCATAGCCATTCTCTATAAAGTTAATTAGTCAGTAAATTACCCCAGTGTGAGCGTAACCTTAGTTTCACCTAAGTAAGATAGAAGAAGTCACCATATATCTCTTTGCCTCCTGGAACCCTGACCCCACCATGTGTCCCTTATCGCCATTCGGCTGCATTCCTAGGTATCATCAAGGCAGTTCCTGCAACCTTGTTGTGTTTGTTGCGTGGCCCTCCCTTTTGGCAATAGGAGGCTTTTTGATACTCCCTGTATAGGCCATATGGTTCTCTGAGGTCTAATCAGGCCCTTACTTGATATCCTGTACTCCCTGTATTCATAAATCAACTGGTTGTAAAATCACTTAACTTGTATCAATTGTTTACCCTATACCTCTGTCTGATCCATGCAATGATTGATTTTCTTTGTTTAAACGTGTATAAAAACCCCAACCCAAGACTATTTGGGGCCGCTTGCCTGTACTGGGACGGGGGCCCCGACATGTCGGATCATCAATAAACCTTACCCTTTGTTAATTGCATGAGAGAAGGTCTCTTGGAGCGTTTTTGGGGTGGCAAGAGCAATCCAACTCTAACACGTTAGCCCATGGAAGAAGCAGAATGTGAGAGGCGGCCTGGCTGGGCAGCAACCCACTCTCCAGGGAGGTGACCCCTCTGCCCCTGACCTGACAGCCTCCCCCGCAGCCCACTTCCCAACACTGCTGTCCTGGGAAAGTGACATCTGACCCAGGGACCACGGGGGCTACAGCAGTGCAGCACAAGTGACCCCCACACATCAGAGTCTGGGGCGACCTGCGTCTGCTCTCCAGGCCGCTGGAGATGAGGTGGAATCTGGCAGAGGTCCGGTCAGGGGCTTTTCCTGCAGGGAAGTTGGGGGGAACAGAGGGGCAGGGGATGGGGGGAGACAGACAGGAGGCCAGCGGTTACGTGGCTACCCAGAGATGGCAAGGGAGAGTCTGCCCGCCGAGTGGGACTCACCTTCCCCCCTCTCCAGCAGGGCCTGGATCCCAGACCCTCACCTGGGCGCAGATCCTGGAGATGGGGGACGTCCTGCAGTCGGACTTCACGCCGGGCAGCTTAAGCCTCACCACTCTGTCAGTGTGTGAGCCCACGGACTCCAGGCAGCAGCGCTGGAAGCAGGGCCAGTAGCGGCAGTGGGGGCCACAGAGGCGGGTCTGGTTCAGGGGCAGGATGGTGTCGTCATCACAGCACTGCTCCAGGGGGTTGTAGGCCTGGTCCCCGCACCTGGGCGCCGGCTGGCACAGCCACAGATCGTCAGGCCCTGCAAAGCCAGAGCTGGGTGGGCTCCGGGGTTGTGTCCGGGACCAGCCCCAGCTCCGTGATGCTGCCTCCTCCCGCCTCATGCACCCTCTCTCACCTGGGACTCTTTCCGAGAGCGAGCCCAGGAGGGCAGAGAGGAAGACGGCAGCTGTGAAGCAGAGGGGATGAGGACGGCGCTGGGACACCTGGTCCAGGCCCCAGTGACAGCTCCCTGCTCACAGACACCATTCAGAGAGGGTCAGGGTCCTGGGGTGTGGGCGGGCAGGGGGGACACACAGGGAGGCTCAGGAAGGAGTTAAGGTTCTGAGGCTGCAGGTGCGAGGGAGGTGGCAAAGCATCAGAGAGGACCGGGGTGATACGAGGAGGGAGACAAGAACTGCTTAGGGAAGGGAGAGTCAGGCTGGCGCCGTGCAGGGGTTAAGCTGCCACCTGAGACAGCGGCATCACGCACGGGTCCTGGTTCAAGCCCCGGCTGCTCCACGTCTGATGCAGCTCCTGCTATGCAGTGGGAAAGCAGCAGAAGATGGTCTGAGAGCGTGGGCCCTGCACCCTCGGGGGAGACCCGGTGGAGCTCAGGGCCCTGCCATTGCAGCCACCTGGGCAGGGAGCCAGAAGAGGGAAGCACTCAATACCTCTCTCTCTCTTCCTCCCTCCCTGCCTCCCTCCCTCCCTCCCTGCCTCCCTCCCTCCCTCTCTCTCCCAGTCACTCTGACTTTCAAATAAATAAGTACCTCTCTACAAGTGAAAAGAGGGTCAGGTTTCCAGCCCAGCAGGGGCAGGGGCTCTGAGGCTCCCCCCACCCCGGGGCTGGGGTCTCCTCACCAAGCACTCCGGGCACCATGCTTCTGAGCTGGCTGCAGGGCAGTGGGTAGCGGAATAGCTGCACCTCTGGGTTGGGACCTGGCTCGGTGGTTTTTATACGAACTTGGACCTGTGAATCATGTGGCAACACAGGCAGCAGGGCCTGGGAGGGTGGGGACGGCACAGACAGCAGTCATTGAGTAACAGCTCCTGAATCTGGCCCGGGAGGCAGCCGCCTTCTCACGCCCTCCGCCCTGAGAGCCTTTTCTGGGCACAGCTGAGGGGGTGCCCAGCTGGGAGAGACCCTCCCCTGAGGGCACCCTCCCTCCCCAAACACTGGCTGTTTCCAGGCTCCCCACATGCCTTATCCCAGAAGTTTCAAGGCCCCCCCATGTCCACACCTGCAGGGCTCCTGCTTCTGCAGAGTCAGGTGTGGGAGACATCGAAGGTGCAGCAGGATCGGGGGCTCCTCCGGGGCTGCAGATTCTCCACCAGGGAGTCACCAGGGACAGAGTCACGGGGGACCCTGGGGTCCATGGTGCCTTTTTCTTGTTGCTCTAAGGGTCTTTGACCAATTGCTCCCTCCATGTTTGTCATTGCTGTCTTCCCGTCAGCATCACTCCGTCCGTGTGAGTGCAACGCCTGTGGGGTTCTCAGAGGCCGCCCCTCTGTGTTCCGGGGCTCCCCAGGGAGGCTGACACAGCACTGGGGCAGAGGCCTTAGGGGGCATCGCCGGCGGCAGGGACTCTCCTGTCCCGGGTCAGAGGAGGAGACTCCACCTGCAGGGTCTGATGGCTGCGTACAGAGCCGCCTGCTCCCTCCTCTGCGGGTGTGAAGTCGGTGCCTCTGCTTCCCCTGCACCCTAACAGGAGTCCCCTGGTCGCCGGACGTCCCCCGCTGACAGAGCAGCTGCCGGGAAGTCAGGCCTGCGAGAGCCACGGTCCCAGATGCATTCACAGATGACTCCTCGGAGCCCCACTACATATGCATGAGCCAGTTGGGCTGGGCAGGTGCAGGGAGCCCCGTGTGAGTGCTGAGGGCGCATTCCTCGGTTCACTTTGCAGCCTGCAGGGCCCAGTGTGCGTTTGCTGGCATCGCCCTCCACACCTGCTTGCGTCCATCGCTCGCATCAGCATATGGATTTCATTCCTTTTTTTCCCTAAAAAGGGAATGTCGCATTGTTAATAAAATACAGAGAGCATCGGGAGATCAAAATAAACACACAAACTCCCTTTCTCAGTGCAGGCTCGGTCAAGGTCAAGACGCTGATTCCAGAACTCCAGCGCATTTCTGAGAACTGAGGGTCCTGGGGCTGAGCCGCGGTGGTGCCGTCTTGATTAGCTGAAGAGAAAGGAGCTCCATTAAATAGTTAAAGCATTACAATAATTTGTTCTACCTGAAAGGTGCGGGTGGAGGTGCGGGTGGAGCTAGTGAAACAGGGAGTGACCTCCCACCCAGGGGGCGCTGCCCAAACGCCGGCAACAGCTGGGGTGAATCCGGCCAAAGCCGGTGCTGGGACTCCCACACAGGACAGACCCAGCTATGTGGCCTCCTCTCCGCCCAGGGTGTGAATTCCTGGGCTCAAGGGTGGACTCCCCCTCAGGCTCTCAGATATGGGACCTGGGCGCCCAGACAGCTCCGGAACCACGCCCACGACAATGCTCCTCTCCAGATTAGAAAACAACACAGCACCAGGAGGGGCGGAGTCAGGGCCACCAGGGGCTGCGTGGTCACTTCCCGTGCAGCGCACGCACGGAGCCGCCCTGGGTGCTGGGGGCGCCGTCGGGTGGAGAGGACGCTCGGGGAAGCTTCCCGGGTGCTCTTCCTGCTGCGGCTGAGGCGAGATCTTTCATCACCGCCCCAGTAAGCAGGAGCCATCAGGCTCGGCGCCCAGAGAGCCCAGGAGCCAACACCTGAGCGTCCCCAGACTCCGCGGCCGCGACTCGCAGCCGCCCAGCCCTTGATTTAATTTGTTGATTTTATTAACTAGCAATCCTCACATTTTCTGGGTACAGGGCAATACTCAACCCTGACACAGCGCCAGCTGATTAAACTGAAGCGAGTTGGCCGCCGTCCTGCTGGGTTAAACTCCCGTGGGAACTCAGGTCCTCTGTGCAGCTCCTGGGGCGGAGCCAGCGCTGGTTCCCACAGAGAAGGCAGCGGCTGCTCTGTCAGCGCGAGGGTCAGCTCTGCTGTTATCTGCGCCGTCCCTCATGTGTCCTCGGCTGTAGGACTTGGTCAAGATTAATTGTGCTCAGTGCGCAGGTTTGGTCTGGCCCTGTGGACCTCAGCTTCAGTGCTGGCCCAGGCTGCTTGAATGGACTCCTTTGTAAACTACTGAGGCCCCAGGCGCTTTGTCCCCTCCAGGAGTCCCGGGAAGCAGCAGCGAGTTCGTGGTTCTCCCCTGCAAACTTCCCACGCACGGGTGTCCGGGCTTTCGCGTGGTGGGGGCGCCTCCTCCCCAGTGCCGCCAGCCACGTCCTGTTCAAGCCATCAGAACAAGGGAGTCTGAGTTTATTTTGCTGCAAAACTTTCTCACGGCGCTGCGTTGTGGCACAGAGGGCAAAGCTGCCTCCTCGGTCCTGGCGTCCCACACGGGTGCCGGAACGTCCTGAGGCTCCACTCCCATCCCGCTCCCTGCTAATGCGCCTGGGAAAAGCCGCAGAGGAGGGTCCGAGTCCCTGGGCTCCTGCACCCACCTGGGAGACAGGGAAGAAGCTCCTGGCTCTAGCTTTGGCCTCGCCCAGTTATGGCCATGGTGGCCATCTGGGGAGTGAACCAGCAGATGGAAGATCTCTCTCCCTGTCTCTGTCTCTCTGTAAGTCTGACTTTCAAAATAAATTAATGAATCCTGAAATGAATTTTTTTAAATCAGTGTATAGTTTTATGGTGTTTTTTCTTTTTTATAAATATTTATTTATTTGAAAGGCAGAGTTACAAAGAGTCAGAGAGAAAGAGAGAGAAAGAGAGAGAGAGAGAAGTCTTCCATCTGCTGATCCACTCCCCAATGGACACAATAGCTGGAGATGAACCAATCCAAAGCCAGGAGCCTGGAGCTTCCTCCAGATCTCCCACGCAGGTGCAGGGGCCCAAGCACCTGGGCCATCTTCTGCTGCTTTCCCAGGCACATTAGCAGGGAGCTGGATGGGAAGTGGAGCAGCCAGGACTTGAACTGGTACCCATATGGGATTTGTGCACTGCAGGCGGTAGCTTTACCCTCTATGCCACAGCACTGGCCCCAAGTTTTCTTTTTAAAAGTGACTTATTTGTTTTCGTTTATTTGAAAGTAGATTGATAGATCTCTCACGGTAGACGCATGCAGACATACACATACACACACACACTCCCAGTGATATCATTGCAGGAAACAGGAACAGACGAGAAGAGCAGTTACACCCGCTGTGGGAAGAGACGTGGGAAACTGGGAAGCTCATTCCTCCTGGCAGGACCAGGGGTGAGTACATCCACCTGGGAACTCCTGGGCGCGTCCTTTAGAGCCACACGTTTTGTGATCTAGAAATTCCACTCTAGACGTGTGTGGCCGAGAGAAAGGCAGAGGTGTGTTGAAGAACAGCCACGGGCAGGGTTTCTATTGACGAATAAAACTTAGTAGATTCATTTATGAAAGTAAAAAGCTGGAAACAACCCAGGGGCCGTGAGGTGAGGCGTGTCGGCCGGGGCCAGCCGTGAGTGACGGAGCTGGCCGGCCGAGCCGGCACGGCAGCTGGGGCTGCAGGAGCTGCCCCGGCACCGACTCCTGGTGCAGCACACGCAGCCCGGGGATGCGCACGCGGCAAGGGGCTCGTGGGTTTCTGAAGAACAGACCGCACAGAATGACGGGAAACTCTCCATGCAGACTGTGCTGCGCCGCCTCTGACGGCCGGTCCGTCTTTCCAAATCAGGGCCCGGTGGGTTGCCCTGTGGCCTCACTCATGGACCTATAAGACTGCTGATTTCGCAGTTGTTTTAAGCCTTATCTGCTTGTTTGTCTGAAAGGCAGAGGTACAGAGAGAGGGAGAAAGAGAGAAGATATCTTCCATTCACTGGCTTGCTCCATTCCAGAGCTGGGTCAAACCAAAGCCAGGAGCCTGGAACTCCATCCGGGTCTCCCACATGGCTGGCAGGGCCCACACACTTGGGCCGTCCTCCGCTGCCTTCCCAGGTGCGTTAGCAGGTGGACTGGAAGTGGAGCAGCTGGGACTTGAACCAGCTCTCGTACGGGATGCTGGTGCTGCAGGCTGCAGCTCAACCGGCTGTGCCACACGCTGGCCCCTGGTTCTACACTGGTTGCATCTTTCACTTGTTAAGGGAGGTGGTGACCTCAACATTGCTTGCATGCCGGCCAGAGGCTGCAAACCCCAGGACGTGTACTTCAGATGTGTTCTATGCTTTGAGAGCCGAGGCTCACGGATGGCCCAGCGTCCGGCCCATTCTGGGAAAAGTCCCGGGTGGACTTGAAAGGGACCCAGGGGAAGCGAGAGGCGGCTCAGGCCACCCCTGCCCCCAGGGACCCTGACCGTACAGCTCTCACGCACCCAGTCTCCATCCGGGAGCCACGGGAGCCGGGGAGCCCACAGTGCTCGTGTCAGTGTGATGATAAGAAAGAGAGAGAGGACAGAGTGGCCTGTGTCACTCCCACTGCTCCATGGTGCCAGGAGCGCGGTGCTCGCAGAGGGCTCCGGCCATGCGCCGGTGCCATGCCCCTTCGCCAGTTCTCATCACAGGCCCAGGGGCCCTGGTGGCCACAGGACTCCATGTCTCAGGACTCAGTTCTTGACTGGGCCTGGGTTTCTGTCGTCAACTTCCTCTTCCTTTTAAAACCGTGCCTACCTCACACTGCAGCTTCAGACCCTAGCTTTTTAGTTACACATTCTCTCTCTGTCTCTCTCTATCTCTATCTCTCTCTGTCTAGCTCTTTCTCTTTCTCTTTCTCTTTTAATAAAGTTTAAGCACATAAGAAATGTCTTTGTTTTTTTTTAAGATTTATTTATTTGAAAGGCAGAGTTACAGATGGATGGAGAGGCAGAGAGAGAGAGAGGTCTTCCTCTGCTGGTC